CCCCCCCCCTCACCTGTGTGTGGTTGGTTCCGTCCTCCCATTGCCCCGCTGTTCCAGCTGTCAGGCAACAGGTTGATTTGGCCCACCGCTAGGCCCTCTGACGTCATCAGAACACACAAGAGCACACCGAGGCTGACAAGAGAACATACTCTCATCATGGCGAATATAGAAAAAACAAACAACTTTAACTCACGAAAAAGAATTATGCGATCAAAATTAGAAGATAATAACAATTATTATTATTTTAAAAATCAGTGGGTTGCTAGAGAAACGTGAAAATAAAACGAAAGTATTCTGTTTTTTCCCCCTTTTTTTTGTTTTTGCTTTACAAATCTTGCTAAACACACACAGGCCTTCACAGAGTCACTTCTCAACTGCCCTCTCCAAGATGTCCGAATTCCTACACGTCTCACACTGACAGTGGAACTGGTAAGACTCCGCCTCTAGGCTGGTGCTGGTCCGACGATGCCAATCCTAGAACTTCCGAAAATTGTAAGCTCTCTAGTCTCTAGCGTCGGTTGCTTTGACGATGCTAGTAGCAGTAAGAAAATGGCCGCTGGTTTGACACACCCACTTATTTCCGGTACGAGGGAACGCCCGTGGTACGGTAGCCTAGCTCTTTTCTCTATACGGTAAACGAGGGCACAGGATGGACACAGAAATTGGCGATTTTGCACACGGCCGGGCCCCCTCGCCTTCGCGCCACTTCCCGCCGTGTGGAGGAAAAAAGTTGAGACAGAGACAATAAATTGATGATGCTCTGCGCACCTGACCCCAACTTACTGTCTCCACTGGGAGTCCTGTAACGAAGACAATGGGGATTTTATAGCAGTCTCTTTTCCTTGCTTTTACTGCTCACACGGAAAGCATGCAGAATTCCCACATCTACATCCCCTTATTTTGATGAATCATCTAATATCGCGCGCACAAGGATGATTAATTCCATCTCTTTCTTCAGACAAACAACACATTATGTTCCCTCAAACAAAAATAGCAATAAAAAGTAAAACACTTATTTTTCTGATTTGCAAGAAAGAAAGAAACAGAAGGTCATTTTTACCATTATCTTACTCCTACCATTGCAATCATAATGTAATATAATACGTATATCTACTGCCGTTGTGGTATAGATTTAGCATCGGAATACCCTTGGGTTAATATCAGGATGTTGATTGTGTATCTAGAATCTAGCTTTAAAATTATTATCGTTAACAATAATAATTGTTCATCTATAAATCATAATAAGCATGTGACTGGGTCTGTGTATGAGTGCAGGCATTTGTTATGCGTGTATGTTATCTATGTGTGTGGGAGAAGGGATGTGTGAGAGAGTATGTGTGTATTGGTGTGGTCTCTCTCTCTCTCTCTCT